ATAATTTGTGTTGTGTACTAAATGTATTCATTTCTATAATAAAAGTATTATTAAGACATTTAATAATGTTTATATTGTTTTATTGTAAAAAATATAAAGACAAAAATACTTATTTTATAATTTATACGACAATAAGCGTCAAATAAGCCACATTGATTTATTAAAATAGCTATTACATTAATATTGTTTTATTGAATTATAAAAGTAATAGACAGACAAATAATAGTATCATTTTATTATTTAATTATAGATATAAATTTTATTTTATTTAAAAAATATTTTAAATAGATTTTAATAATTAAATATAGGATACAAAACGGTTTAACAAAAATATTATTAATTGTTTTCAGTTCTATTTTTTTGTTGCAATTAAGAGTAAGAAATTGGCTCAACATTTAACATATACTTTAGATTAAATGGAAAAACTAAAAAATGTATTAAAATGTTTATAAATATATTATGTAATTAAAGTGTGTTTGGGATAAAAAAAATATTTGAGAAAACGAGAGCATTAAATCACGGAATCAATGGGCGATTTCATGTAATATCGTGCTGTCATACAAAACACCGAAACCTGCTTTCTATTTGCTCCCAAAAGCCTTAAATCATTTTATTGTTTGTTATACTAATATTAATATAACTGTGACAACGTTTTCAACTAAAATTATATGAGAGAAAATTGATTTATTAATAATTTAAGTAACATAATAATTATAATTTTACTCTAAATTAATTTTTGCTAACAATTACATTTATATATAATATAATATATATTACATAATATTTATAAGTATACACTAATACATATACCATATACAGCAGTTAAATACTGTACATAACAGGGTTGACAATTATTCAAAGTTTATAATTATATTATAAATGTGTAGTCCTTATTTTTAAAATTTTAATTATTAAAATTTATTTTTAGTACATTTTTAAAAATCTTACAATATATTGAAAAACTACAATAATTATATATTCAATAAACATATTTCATTAAATTTTTATTATAATATATTATTTTATTTAACTTTATTTAATAAACAATATTCACAAATAAGATAAGAAATAAATAAACAGTAGATTGTAATATTACTGTAAATTTAAAATCAATTTATTTTACCAACCTTGGTATATGATACACGTTAATATTTTACTATTGATATTACATTCAAAACAATTTAACAAAAACATTGTTTATAAATTATAATTATAACTTATGAAAATATAACAAATATTCTATTGGATAAATATAACATACATTTATTATAATTTATGATAAATAAATTATAGACATAAAAGGCATAAATTAGTGATAAATATTGTGAAAATGATTTAATTTCTTTTAACTGACAACCAGAGATAAACTAAATAACAATTATTTTTGAATATATAAAATTGTTTGTGGACTACAATTGTAGTTAATTCATATTTTCAGCTATCATTAAATATATTGAAAAATCAAATATTTGAAAATTATTATAAAAGTATATATAATCGGTTGGGATTTATATATTTTGAATTTATATAATTTAAAGATAAACACATCAATTATAATTGTCATAAATTTTAGTTTAATTATCAAATTAATATTATTTAAATTTTTCATCATTATACAATTCCCACTCATTAATACTAATAATACTAATAAATATTTATTTGTTTACTTAATAATTTATTATATCTTTATATTAAACAAATATTATATACGTATATAATATTTACAGAATATATGGTTTTGTTTAAAAATTAGTAATTTTTCAAATTCCCAATTCATTTGACCGTTTAATAAAACTTTGCAAAATTGTGTGACCACTCCTCCTATAAACCACAGCTATGGATGATATAATACAGTATTTTATCGATAGACTTGCGTGGGTTATAACTATCGGACCTCTTATAACAAGACTATTATAACTTTAAGTGAGAGCTCCGGTAGGAAAAAGGCTGACTCTATAAAAATTGAATACTATTTTTGCGCATTTGATTGCATTTCCAAATGTCTATATATAAGCAAATCTCAATTATAAATTGCTTAAGTCTCTTACTTTAATATATTTAGTAACTATTATATATTATAATATAAATATATTATATATATTCATTTGTGCAAAAATTTTAATATACAACATAATTATTTTATTTGTTAAAAATTGTTTTCCATTTAAAAATTATATTACTTATATATAAATATTTTATAAATTAGAGTAAATAAAGTTATTAAAAATATAAACTGTATTATTTAAAATAAAGGTAAGCATAATTTTAATATTTTATAAATTTAATTAATTAATTTTAATTAATTTGTACAAATGTATTAATATGAATTTATTATTTAATAAAATATAGAATGTTAAGTAGTTAATAATAATAAAGGTATTATATTGATAAAAATATATATAATTTAAATGGTTTTTTCATATAACAAAATATATTGAATAAATAAACTGTATTATATATTTAAAAATATTAAAAATTAGATCCTCAATTTAAAAATTTTATTTTATACATATACTTTAAATTTTCTTAAGCAACATAAGTTATAAAATTGTATAAGTTATATAAAATATCAATTTTAAAATAAATTATATTTTGTTTTATAACTTAAAGTACTTCACAACTGGGAGTTAATATTCACCGAATACTAAATTGACATTTTCTACAATCACATACATTACAATTCAATATTTATAAATCTATAGATAATAAAATTTTAGAAATAATATAACTATTCAAAATACTAAAATCACATATAAATCTAATGGAAATCAATAATCTAGGTGATCGCATGTAAAATTAATATTGATATATTTCTATCTAATGTATAATATTAATACAGTATAGTATACTTAATATAACTTATAAAAATTTAGTATAACATCAATTTTATCAATAATAAATTATTTGTGATCATCATATCTATTTATATATTAATATAAATTATTTTATCAAATAAAATACAATTAAAGATACCAATGATATAACTAAAACTCAATATATGTAATTTTGACTAAATGTGTAATTTATTCTAAACTGATAATTAGTTAAATTAGATAGTTTAATAATTGTAATAATTAGTTAACTATATAATACTTAACAAATACATATACAAATACATATTTATAATAATAATCTTTATTTAGTAAAAAATGCAATAAATAAATAAAGTTGTATTTATAATAAAGTTACAGATTGAAGATTATAGTATATGTATTCAGTGAATAATTTTCAAAGTTTAAAAATTTTGTTAGAATTGTATATAACTATAAAGTTCATATAAAGTAATTATCATAATTAATGTTAATCATTATATCGGTACTATTTATATATTAAAAAAAATGTGAAATACTCTTATGTATTAATTTGATATCAATTTAGATTTTTCTGTAAATCCTTTAGAGAGTTTGTCTTTAAATCCTAATTGAATGCATAAAAACTCGTAACAAATAAATCAATTCAATCAGTGGTTCATTAAGAAGTTGAGAATTATTTGCTAAACATTTCATTTTATTTTGTTAAAGGATTAAGTTTACAGATACTAATTTAATATCACTTAAATTAATACAGTATTTACACAAAATTGACCACAAATTGATTAAGTTTATATAAATAAAATGTAACAATGATTAATAATGTTTTATAATTTTTACAATGTTATATCAAAAGCTTTATTATTTAACATTTTTAAATTATAAAAATTAAATAGAATTAAAACTTAATTGTTTTATTTTATATGATATTTATTATAGATTTTATTTTTATTTTATATCTTAATATATAATGTAAACTGAATCAAATCTTACGCAAGTTTTATTATTAAACCAAATAAATCACACGAAAGGGATATTAACATCACTTTTAAAGATCCGACAAAAAAGATTTATTTGCTTATCTAAGATACTGTATAATATTGTTTACACACAGAATCAGTATTATTTCTATACATTTAAAAAATACTAATTAATTATATTTTTCGTCAAACATATTTTTTCAAAATATTATAATAATAAAATTAATATAAAAATTTTATGCATAAAAAATAATAAATGATTTTTCATATATTTTACACATCATGTCTATATTAGTTACACATTGTTTTATAATATTAAGTACTTTATAATAGATTATTATAATTTAAAGTTTAACATAAAATATAATCCTATAGTTTACCATAAAAACTAATTCATTAAAAATAAAATATATCTAGAATTTTGTTTTAATGTCAATAGATTTTCTTTATATTTAAGATTCCTATTCTATAAATTTATTCGTCTAATTATAAAAATTTATTAATACAATTCTATAGTTAATTTGTTATAAACTTATTTTTATTTTAATTTTCTTTGGCAATTATATGCTTTTTTATTAAATTTATATAAATAATTTAATTCTTGTAGTGTTTTGTAAAACAAACAAAAAAATTTTAATTTAGTTTAGATATAAATTTTGAAAAAACTTAGCAAACTTTACATACGTTTATTAAAAATGTATTTATATAATATAGTATAATGTAAATCGTAAAGTGGACTACACTGTAGTCTATGTACAATATTTTGAGGAAAGGGTGGTCGTTATGGATGAACCCAATCACACAAAATATATTTTCGAAGCAATATTACTAAATAAATAATAAGTTTTTTATAATAATGAGTCTTATATATAATTATTTATTACTATATATTCGTCAAAAAAGATAGATCAGCAAAATATTTTGTAGCTATAGGTCTCATGAGGACAGATATGTCAATGAATATTATATTTATAATAAGCAACAATTATTTATTATTAAATATAACAAAGTTTCAATAAAGATAAACATTAAACATATGTCTAATATAATAAAAATTATTATTCAAATATTGTTAGTTTGTGTTATTTTCTACACAACATTTGATTAAATATTAATAAATAATATTTTATTTTATTTTTTAATAATCTATACTAAAATTGTTTTCATTTTTATAATACAATTATTAGTTTTTTTTAGAAAAAGCAGACAAATATCAATAAAATAAAACATGAATTTTCACAACGGCTTAGTTATTGTTATTTTGGTTATGTTTAGTGTTATTATTATAAGTGTTTCATCAAAGATTATAAACAAAAGAGTAAGTATTATATTTAAACCAATGAAAATAAAATGTTAACAAAAAATTTCTAACATTTAGGACACTGAAAGCCAATTAGATAATCAAAACGGATATTTGGGATCCATAGAGAAGAGACCATTTTGTAATGCTTTCACAGGTTGTGGCAAAAAGCGGGCATCACTTGGATTTGAGAGCACAGACAGTAGGGATCCGTTATCCAGATTAAGCCAAAGAATTATTAATGAGGCGAAACAGTGGGAGTTATTACAGAATAAGATCAACAATAATCAAGTATTTAATTAATAAAATAATTAAAACAAAATAATATAATTGTTTTAAACATATAAAATATAGATTAGACCGGATTATCCACTTTTGGATTATATGTCGTCACGTAAGAGAAGATCAATAGATTCATAAGATATCTGTTAGTATTTAACAATACATATTTGGTTAAAAAAATATTGTCACTAAACAAACACTTAATTAGCTATCAATAAATAATACAATTAATCATTTTTTTAAAAGATTCGTTAATGGATTTATATATTGATTGACAAAAATAATTTCATCGTTTTTCATCACTATTTATCTGAAAAGTCATTATTTCGTGTAATTAATTTCTCTTTATGTAATCAACATCAGTAGTGCCAATAAAATTTTACATTAATATTAATGTTATAAATGGCTAACTATCGAAAAATACGTATATTTTATAAGAAATTATAACTATATATTAAAATTGACTAAAAATACTGTATTATTTAATATTAATTGTTATACATTATTACTCGTATATATTGAATAGTATAGTTATTACTGTTGACATTATAAATGAATGCTTTATATTTAATAGTATCAATAAATATAAACATTTTTATTAATATTATTTAATAAAATTTTATTATAAGATTAAGTTTTAAAGAATAAAATAAAAAAGATTTTATTTAAATAATTGTATCATTATTTTAAGCATTAATAAAAAATATCATTATTAATCACTTGCCGTAAGTTATCTGTTATTATCGACACTTAAACTAAAAATAACACAAGTTTTAATTACTATGTGATTATGTCTATGTTTTGCAATTAATATATATTTTATTATCCGATATATTCAAAATACTTTATTAACCGACTATACTATCCGATTCAAAAATATCAAAAACTATTCAACTATTATATGATTCAATATTCAGTTTAATATTATTATAACTTTTAATTATAATATCCATATTTTTTTAATATGAAATAATAATAATTATTATATAATTGATTTGATATGATACATAAATTTATAATAATAATTATATTCATAATAACATTTAAGTTATTATTTAAGTTTTGCATATTTAAGAACTTGTTGTTTAATGTATTTTATAAAAAACTAGATTATTGTATTGCACTGTATTGTACGCACAAAAAAAACAAAAAATTTAGGTTTGAATAAATCCAAGTTTAAGATAACTTATAATAATAATATTTGATTTATCCGTTTTTTAGTTGCTATCATTAAAACTATTGGTTAAAAGTTATATTCATCGACCAATTGATTCAATTTTTTGTCCACTGATAAGCATTAAGTCAATTGTGTTATAATTGATCACTAGATGGCCGATAGTTATCAATAGTTATCATAGACTGTAAAGTCTGATAATCTAATAGTTGTGACAAATATTATAATTTAGTGTCGATTTTATGTCACTTCTTAAACACACAAATCCGTAAATATCTTGTAATATACATAATATCGGTATTTATTGATTACTTAATAGACCCATAAAAGTCATAAATTAATTTATTACTTAAATTTTACATAACTTTTTTTTAAAAAAAAACTATCAATTTTTAAATTAGTCAACAAAATTTCTGGATTTTTACTGAAATAATTACTCGAATAATTCCCAAAGTTAACAAAAAATAATTAATTAACTGATGTAAGCATTTTGTTATTTAATTTAATGATAAGTTTTAAGATATGAGTTTTATATTTAAATTAAAATATATGTTCATATGTTTTAAACAGATTAACAACAAATCGTGATATTAAATATGTGTATCAATTATTTTCACATTTTTTAATTTTCTATAAATATATCAACTATTTTAAGCTGATTTGATTTCTTAAATGACAAAAATAAATAAATAAAGTATGCTTAAATAAAAATGCTTACCGTTGTTGCGCACATAATTTGGCATGGAAGGTAATGCGATAAGTGGCAGGTTTCGTGGTAATTGGTTCCCCTGGAATTTGCTAGATTTAGGGGCACAAAATCCCAGCCATGTTATAAGTTTTTATTATGTGTCAAATTCATGCCACTCATAATTTTTTATCATTATTTAATGCGATTATTAATGCGAATTAAATTTATTATATATTTGATTATTAATTTTATAGTATTGATCGATCATTTATTAATTATAGATCGATCCTATAATATTAAATTATTTATTTATTTATTGATTGATCATATATTTAATTAATTATAACTAAATTTAGATATTTAAAACACTTATAGTAGTGTAGATACCAGTTATCACATTTACTGCCATTCGGTTATTTTAGTTATCGCATTATCTTCCAGGGTATGGCAGGTTTAGTGGTAATTAGTTCCATACCTTTATGACACTTTTAATTAATTTTTAAAATTGATATGGCAAGTTATGTGGTTAAAAACGGTACATTATTATATTTATTTATTATATTTAATGTAAATATTGTTATTTTTTTAATAAATTGAATATATTATACAATCATTTATATTAAAATAAGAAAAACATTGTGATAATCATCATATACTGTAAAAATTTATATAAATGAATGAATAATTTAAAAAAAATAATATAATTATAGAAAATAAATATATTTATAAAATATAAAAAGTTTGATGAAAGAGATGTTTGAGATTTTGATGATTAAAATCTCAAACCTCTGTGTCCGTGGTGTCTATCTCTACAGTCTTTGCATAGTGAATAATGTCGGGCATATTTGCACCGATAGCCCAACCATCCACAGACACCACTTTCTTTAGGACATTCCGTCCAACAGCCACAGGCAGACACAGACTTCACACCATCTCTTCTTTTATCTTCTGATGATTTCTTTCTGTCCATTATTTGAGACAATAAATGTCCAGTTATTGACTAATCTCTTACTTTGGTTGTCGAAACAAAAAAGAAATAAAAACTTCAAAATATATATATATTTTAATTACATAATATGATACTTACAAATCTAATACTGATATATCAATGACATTGATATTACAAGTGAAGCGCGTATTTATAGCCGTATATATACATTACAAGATAGTTAAGACAACTATTTGCTTAAAATGTAAAAACACTGTATAAAAATGTAACTATTTTGCAGACACTATAAATTTTGTTTGTTTAACATTTCTTTTTTAAAAATATGGTACCGTATAATACTGTACTGTATATTACAGTATTTATAAGAGAAATATACATAATGACCCTCTCGTATGAAAATATTAAATAAATTATTTTGTTTTAAATTATATTTCAAGAGAAAATTGTTATTTTTATTGCTTTTTTCTTAGACATAATAACATTAGATATACAGTGAAAATATAGAGAATAACAGATTCTCTTTAAATGATAGATAGGGTTAACATAGGTTATGATGAAAGTAGTGCTAAGTCTGAAATTAACATTATATTCATAGCCATTACATATCAAATGTAACAATTTATTACACAAACAAAACAATTTAAATGTATAATTTTAGTACATTTTATATACACTGTATATTATACAGTATAATATCATTATTTTTGTACAGTATATTTTAAAGCATTATATTATATACTATATTAATTTTATTATTTAAAAACAAATCATTGAATATATTATAAAATTGTTTTATTACTTAATTTAGTAAATTCTTAATTAACAAAAAAAATTATTATAAATTTTTTATATTAATATAAATATAATAATACAGTAGTGATAATTTAATAATACTGTACATGTCTATACAAATGTTACAAATGTCTATAAATAATTCATAAGATCCAAATCAATTGACCCAAACTTATTTCACCAAATCATATTAATAAAGATTTATTATTATATTTACAATTGTGCAATTTATATAATTAAAAACTTATTTAATAATTTTTTAAAAATTTATTTAATATAAAATTTACAGTTTTTAATAAAAATTTAGAGACAAAAAACATTTACAAAAGTATGCATCTCTACCTTAAATATTGTGTTTTTTGCATAATATTAAACTAATTGGTAATTGTAAATATAATAATAAATTTCGAGTGAAATAAGTTTGGGTCTAATAAGTTTATGTCAAATGAGTTTGGGTCATATGTAGTATTGATATACCCTTATTATTGACATATAAACAAATGAAAAATTCAATATTTAGTATCAATTAATTCGTAATAAATTCTCAAAAAATAGTTAATCTTCGATAAAAAAAATGTTTTTTTAATTTCTAACAGATGTTAAATTTTTTTATACAGATAAATCTTAAACAAAAAATATTATACCAAAAATTTTTTAAATAGTTTAATATTTCATTTAAAAAATAGTAGTAAAAAATTTCTTGAAATTTCAACATTTTACATAATGTTTATTAGATTACTAAATAAACATTGAAATTATGAACATATATTGTATAGTATTCGCTAAATATAAAAATTTTATATTTAGATCAAATTATACAAAATGTTTTCACCATATTATGTCATTTTGATGATAAAAATATTAATTATTATATTACAGTCAAATTCAAAATTTAAGATTATTTCAATTTTCTATTTAATATATTATACAATACTAAAAAATAAATAAAATACAAATGTTATAAATGTTAATATTTTAAGAATTATGTTCAGAAAATATCAAAATAATGTTAAATCTAATAAATTTTGTTTGTTTTTAATTAAAAATATGATATATTTTGTAATGATATAATTGGGTTATTAGTAGTGTGATATAGTAGTGTGATTAGTTAATTATCACACTAATAAAAATATTAAAAATAAAAAGTATAATATCATACAAACTATGTTATCATAGAATTTATTGTAAACAGAGTGACCAATTTCAAGGATTAACCTTGATTTTCAAAATTTTAATTAATAAACAAAGATCAATACTGCTATAATCATTTAAATATCAAGGATTGTCGTTTTGATAAAAAAAACTGATAAAATTATAATTATCGTTATATTAAGAAATATTTTGTAAATTTAATAATTATTATATTGTACATAAAATAAGACCAAATTATTATAGTATTTCTAAAAAATTAATTTTGATTTTCATTGTGTTTATATAAATTATAATGAAACACATTTTGAAATTAAAATATAGAGATATAATTAAATAACTAAATTGTTGGCCACTCTAAGCCATAGCTATAAGAAATAATTTTAAATAACTTTATTATATCTACATATTTAATGTTTAATTATATTATATGTATATTACATTCCTTTTGAATATAAAAATATATTCACAAAATTTACATTAAATCTATAGACAAACTCATAATTTTATGTATAAAGTTTACATTTAATTAATCCTAATAACTTTAAGACATTTGTTTTGTCTGTTTGTTTGTTTGTTTGTTTGTTTGTTTGTTTGTTTGTTTGTATGTGTGCACACTTCCTCAACAACCATTTTTTAATTCAAAGCTAAAAATATATTGTTATATTTTCAATTTTAATTTAAAGCAATATTATTTCTATGGGAAATTTTAAATGATTATTGAGCTCAGGTAGGTTTTAGGGACAGGTAGGCTGGTGTCGTGTAATTACACTTTGCTATATTATATGAGTTACAGGGCACCGGGAGGTAAGCTACCTGTGCTAAATTTTTGCAAAATTTTCTCAAATGCAAAAATTTTCAATTTGTGTTAAAATTTTCAATTTTAATTTAAAGCAATGTTATTTCTATGGGAAATTTTAAATGATTATTGAGCTCAGGTAGGTTTTAGGGACAGGTAGGCTGGTGTCGTCTAATTACACTTTGCTATATTATATGAGTTACAGGGCACCGGGAGGTAAGCTACCTGTGCTAAATTTTTGCAAAATTTTCTCAAATGCAAAAATTTTCAATTTGTGTTAAAATTTTCAATTTTAATTTAAAGCAATGTTATTTCTATGGGAAATTTTAAATTTTTGTTGAGCTCAGGTAGGTTTTAGGGACAGGTAGGCAGGTGTATCGTGTAATTACACTTTGCTATATTGTGTGAGTTTATGGCACATGTTAGCTACATGTGTTAAATTTCAGTAAATTTTTTTCAAATGCAAATTTTTTTTCGCAAAAATTAAATTTTCAATTTTTATTAAAATTATTTAAATATATATAAAAACTAAAATTTCTCAAAAGTTTAGTCGAATTAATGTGCATTGGTTCAGTAGTTTTGTTACATTAGGTTATGTAGTAGTTGTATAAACAAATTAAGTCTCATTCAAATTACTTATAGTAAATATTTTTAAATTAGTAAAAGAATTGCACGGCTATACATGTTGCTCGGGACAAACTAGTATATTTTATAATATTTAAATACTTTCATATTATTATGATTAGTCAACAAATTAAAATCATAAAAATATAATTTATCATTATTTTAATTAAAATCAAACAATACAATTAGTAAATTGTTTTGTGTAAATTGTGTGAATAAAATTTTATAATAATATACATAATATATAACTTAAAACTTTTATTTTAAGTAAAATATCGATTTCTTAATTGAAATAATATATAATTTGTTTGACTTTAATCAATCGTTTAGACTATTCATTGCTCGATATCTTCCATAATCTTTGCTTTGATTTTGTCGCTATTTTGTGCAATGAAATCAATGGCATTGATCTCCAGTTCCTTCATTTGATATGTCTGTCCAAACCTGAGGGCATCGAAAACATTGTCTTCAGTCAACTTTCGGAACACTGTCTGAGCGCAGACACACTTGAGGTCAGGCATATCATAGAAGTCGGCTAAATGTGATAGTTTGAGACACATGTGTTCATCTACTGGTGCGCTACCCGTGTATACATATAACAGGAACTGTTGGAACACCTCTTTGTCGATGTCATGAACAACAAGTTTGGATTCACTTTTCTCTTTCATATCGGTTGTAATTAACGCCCGCAAAACCGGTGACCGAGCGGCTAGTATTGCTTTATGGACAGCAAACTCTTTGTCCTCAACAATGATTGTAAAGTCAGTCAATTGGTTGTCTATAAGCAATGACTTAAAAGAATTGATTAATTGATTGATTGACTCATTCTTGAAGACTTTGCTTTGTTTCTCATCGTTCACTTGCATTGAGACCTGAAGTCTAATACAGTTGTTGTCCACTAAAGCTATTTGTGAATCAAATAGTCGATTGATATCCAGATAACGATTCCAACCAAACCGTTGTCGACTTAAGCCGACACTAATCTCCGGCCAATTCATTTTGTGGACAACATTACCCGATTTATCAATCATAGCAACTGATAAAGTGATGAACTTTTTAAACAGCTTTTTAACAGCATATCTGATGGGAATGAGATTGAAATGAACAGATAGGTAGTGATTGTCTTCATAGGAACCGATTTCAATGGACACATCAAACTGTGCCCACGATTTGGACAAATACTCGACATGTAATCCATTGAATACATTGTTCACTGCTTTGACAACTAATATCATATCTATCCGACTCTTCTCTACTCTTGTCTCACACAATGTCGACATCTTCTTTGATCCGATCAGTTGTTATCAAAGTTGGCTATAAATGTCAATCAAATTTTCAAACTTATAATAATTTTAATAAATCTCGTAATCATTTCTAATTTAATTATTGTATTAAAATACAGTGTTTTGTATTATTGTTTTTAAAATTAATGTATAAATTTATTTAATTTTTAAAACAAAAAAGTATCCAGGTAATCATTTTTTTATTTTAAACTTATCTAAATTTAATATAATGTATAATATTGTATACTTTAGAGTAATTAATTGTATAATAATTATTGAATTCAATTATTTTTAATAATAATTACTATTATATTACTGTAAATATTTTTATTAAAATAGTTAAAGACAAACATTTAGTACTTTTTATGACATACCAAACTATGTTATGTATATTAAAACTAAAGTTTCAAATAAGACTAAATGTGCAAATAATAAGTAATGAAACGGCAAATGTATAGACAATGTAAACAATGCTCTGAATTGTTGTCCATTTTGTGACCGAATTAATGATTCACCGATTTGTTGGCCACTCAGTGACCGATTTACTGGATATTCAGTTATTATAAATATTATAACATTTGTGGTTAAAGAGTTATCATTAGATTCAATGGGAAAACCAGGTTTGAAGTGATTGTGTTAGTCATGAACTCATTTATTAAATTCTTGTGGTATTTTCGGTCAGGTTTTGGTGGCAATCGGGCGCCGACTCGATCGGACAAATGTTTTAAGTGCGGAAAGTCTGGTCATTGGTCTCGGGATTGCACGTCAATGTACAAGACATTGTATAATCCAATCGGCAATCAATGGCGACGGCGTCAATCTGGAGGAGACAACTCATGTTACAACTGCGGCCAAAGCGGTCACTACTCGAAAGACTGTTCAAAATCAAATGATTTATGTTATATTTGTACGAAAAGTGGACACTTTGCTAAAGATTGTCCCGACGGACAAAACTCGGCGCCAAAATGTTTCCGATGTGGAGGAGAGGGACACAAATCGTTTGAATGTATGAACGGTAACAACGGGTCCAATAATGGCAACGGTTGTTATCAATGCGGACAAAGCGGACATTTTGCTAGAGATTGTCCTAATTCGGGATCGTCGGGATCAACGTGTTATCAATGCGGAAGACCGGGTCATTTACAGAAAGACTGTCCGACTTTTAATGGAAACAGTGGTGATGTTTGTTATCGATGTCAACGAAACGGACATTTTGCCAGAGAGTGTCCTAACGTGGGTCCCACTTGTTTTCAATGTGGTAATGAAGGCCATCAACAAAAAGATTGCCCAACACTTAATGGAAACAGTGGTGACACTTGTTATCGATGCCATAGAAGTGGACATTTTGCCAGAGAGTGTCCAAATGTGGGACCAAAATGTTTCCGTTGCGGTAATGAAGGCCATAAAGCCCGAGATTGTACGGCAGTGAATGGGAGCGGTAGTGATGGTTGCTATAAATGCGGTAAAAATGGACACTTTGCTCGCGAATGTCCCGATATTGATATGATTACTATTGACTGATAGATCGCACATTTTTTTATATAATATAAACTTTTATTTAATACAATATCTCATTAATGTTATATTATTTAATATATTTTCACTTTTATTACTAACTTATTTATAAGTCTTATTGTTTTATAAGATAAGAAAAAAAGTATTAAAAGTTTTTCATTATTTGTTAAAATTAATTTAAATTAAATATCGCACATATTTTAGACAATAAACATGTCTTAACTTTTAATTAAATGCATTTATTATTTATTTACATAAATATAATGAATTTTAACAATTAATTAATGAATAATAAATGACAATTAAATACATTATAAGATATTAACTAATATTTATGTATTGAATGATTGAACACAAGGTGTCAGTGAATGTGTTGTTTGTCTACTATTTGACAACAAATACAAACAAATATCACATAAAATATTAAATACTTTGGCTTTCAATTGAAACGCCGTTTAATGACATCCAATGAGTCGGCGGACAACTCGGGACTCGTTTGATCGCTTCGGTGACGATCTGACGGAACTATTGATTAGTTATTTGCCGTTAGATCTGAAGATAACATATGAATGTGTTTGCAAACAATGGCGAAGACTTGTATTCAGACGTCAAACACACTTTCATCTGTTGAGACACCGATATAAATGCCAGAAGTGGTCGCAACTCTTTATCCGCTCATATGTTCACCAAAACCAGACATTTGAGTTAAATCTAGTATTGTTTGAATTGTTGGCCAAGAAGTTAACACATTTGACTGATTTATTAATCGACAGTAACTGCAAATGTGATGAAAATGTCTTAAATATATTAAGCGATTTGTATGAAAACAATTTTAAGACAATTAAGACTTTGGACATTAAGATGAAGGAAGACATCGACGATGAAGTGTTGAATCGATTTTGTAGTTTATTTGGCAAAACTCTGACTACTGTTTCAATCAGCGGTCTATCGGTCGACAAATTAGCGAATGCTTTGTCTTGTTTTGGCCAAAATCTTCGTTCAATTGATTTAAAACAAAATTTAAAGTCATTATTAAATGCCGACAATAAAAGAAATACAGCCGACGTGTGTCACAACAAATTGGACACCATTTTGGTTATGAATCCTTCGAGTGAAGACTTGAATCAATTTGTCGAGAGATATGGCAAACAGATAACTCATTTAAGCTTAAGTTTTGATCAAAACTATAAATACAATATTAACGATAGCCTCAAATATGTGGCAAATCTTGCAAACCTCCGGTGCTTACGACTGGATTCAGAGCTGTTTTTCGTCAAACAAAACAACTTCAATGAACAGCATATGATTGACGATAGTCTTGAATTGATTGGCCAGAAGTGCCATCGATTAGATTATGTAGATATCTGTATATTTGGTGATTTAATTAGCAATAACTTACTTCGTGTCTTTGGTCAACACTTTGATTGTTTAGAGCGTTTGGATCTATCTCTTTGGGATATCGGAGACAAATACTTTCCTACAGTTAATGCATTTGGTTTTAATGGTGATAATGGCAAACATCTAACAAAATTGAATTTAATGTTTGAACAGTTATCTGACGATCACTTAAAAGACATTCACTTGTTTTTGCCAAACCTTAGAGCCGTTAAACTTAATTCTGACGAACATTTGACCGATCAGTGTCTTAAATATTTATCAAAACTCAAACAATTGCATACAATTGTATTGGAGGGTAATATTGATATCAATTATTTAACAATTGATGGCATCATTGAGTTTGTCCGCACCTGTTGTCAAACAATTAGAATTATTGACATCGAGTTTGGAAATGATTTAAATGAAGTTAATTATCATATGTTTAAAATATTAGCACAATTTATGCCACAAATTAATTTTTATATTTCATTTCATGATTACGAAGACAGATATAAAGATATTTGTATTTATGTGAATCCAAAAAACAATTTACATATTTTCAAAATTTAATATTTATTTAGTTATTAAGAAATTTTATTAATTAAATCCAATTAATTGTTATTGTTTTAATTAAAGTATTTTATGTTAGACTAACTTAAATAAAAATATATTTTAACAAATTAATGTAAATTTGTATTTTATTATTTATATTATTGATTATATCAAATGATTATAATCTTATAACAAATGATTTATATTATAGAATAGAGTATTAAACTTGTGATACATTTGTAAATCTTCTACTAATTAATCCTTGTTTTGATTGTTTGACAATTTGTTTACAAAACACTTTATTAACTAATTTCCTAAATATTTCCGTTTTGGTCATTGATTTGCCAAATAGATTGACTTTTTGAGCACTTGTCAGACACATCCATGAAATAAACGCAAAACATAGACAACTGATTAAAATAATGATTATATTTGAGCCAATTATTATCAATGCTATATATGTTGTATTTCCCAATTGAATAATTACATCTGTTGTCATACTTTTAAACAAATTTAATAAAAATTAAAATCAATCAATCAATCAATCTTTATTGGTATTTCATTAAACATATTCTGATAATATTATGAAAATATTAAGTTTTATAGAAATATAATTGTTAAAATACCTGAATAATTTAATATTTAGCTAATAATTTTGTATCACTTTTGATAATAATTGTTTTCATTCAAATACTAGTTTTTATTATCGCATCAAATATTGGCTAATTAGCTAAAAATACTTATTATTTTTATTAAAATATCAATTGATATACAGATGTTTTATGAAATAATAAGAAAAATAATTGAATTTAATTATTATAGTAATGTTGTAAAGTAACTTTGAAAATAAAATTAATTAAACTGAGAAACAATTTGTTACAATAGTTAACTCAAATACAATATCTATGGTTTTAATTTTGCTTCGATATCATAATCATCAATAGTTTGTTCAATTTTGTCTTTAGTTTTGCAAAATTGATAATTTTGTGGCCAATTATGACATTTAGCAACTCTTTCTCCGGTTCGTAAGCACATCCATACCATTAATGATATACACGAACAACATATGATTATCATTAAAATATTTGCCACAACTATCAACACAATCATTACAGTCATGTTTTCAATTTGAATTTGTGTGACACCCGACAGGTCAATGTTGGCCTTAACCGACAAACTAATCAATTATAGTAATAAATTTATTAAAAATATCATCAATTCAAATATGAATTACCTAAATGTTACACATTTGATGATAATGATAATAAAAATCGCAATGATTTTGTTAAAATACATATTAACGGTATGTTAACTTATAAAACAAATCAATTATTGTGAGAGTAATGTACTAAAATTATTTGTGTAAAATTTCAAATGAAATTTTATCTTAATCAAAACTTTATTTATGTTAAATTATATTAAATTATAAATTATATAATCATTAAAATTAATTTTTTTAAAATTTCTTTTATGACACTTTTAATTGGTAAATAAATATCATTAAGAAAATGTCTATAATTTCATATATATTATCTTTTACGGTAAAAAGTAAATCCTTAATTCAAATATTAATAAAACATTCAAAATAATTTAATAATTAACAAAAGTGTGTAATAAATAAAATTAAATATAAAATAATAAAGTTTGGTTTATGCAAATGTCACAATTTATTGCCAAATATAAAATAGAAGATATTTTCAGTTAAAAAATAATTACCGGTAAATGATTTTTTTTGAGTATTAAACTATTGTAATAATAATACCGTATTAATTCATATCAGAGATAATGACCATAATTGTAATGTTATTAACAAAGGTTTTACGATTGTATAGTAAAATATTTAAAGTAATTAACGTATACCTGAAATTTGATACATGTAATAATTTAGAAATTTATGACTTATACATAACTATAAAAAATACTATTATATGGCCAGTGGTTTACACATGTTTTGATCGCTAAATTTTGTTAACAAAGTTAAATACAATATTAAATCTAATTAAATAAATCAAATTTTATGTTAAACTCTAAATTGACAATTTATTAATAAAAATCTAACATTAATGTCAATATTGTCTACAAATATAACTCAATTGTCAGTAAAGAAATATGGGTCTTATAAATGATTTATGAAAATTGAATCAATAATTTTTACAAACATTTTCGACAATATTCAGGCGATGCCACTGAATAATCGTCGGATAAAAATAACTTTGGCTTCGAAGCTAAATATTGAAGCAAATCGTGAATATGTTTAGACAAAGAGTCAAAAGATTCATCATTTAGTTCAATGTATGACAAGAAGACATTGATTCGAGTGAAGAGTCGTAACAAATGAAAGGCACCGTAAATGGAGGACATTTGACGGCCAGTATTGTGCTCTTTGTTAGACATAAGTAAGTCTTGGTATTGGATTCTTTCAAATTTGTATAACAACTGACTGCCAATCATTGAATTAAAGAAACCTTTGACACCTTTGACCACTTGTCTCAAAACTGATTCATCGGCGCCATTGACTGCTACCCTATGTTTAACATAATCATCGAGTATCTGATCGATTGACACGTTTGCCGGCAAATTATATAACATCTTCTGACGGGTCACGAGATCCCAGTCGTCAACTAAACACGGCTTCAATTTAAGTGGTATTTGAATACTAGCGTCGGGTTTGCCTGACATCGACTCTTCCAAAGCCATCAATGTCTCCATTCGTCGCTTTTTTGTTGTCTTTTTCTTATTGGTTTCATTTGAAGTGTTAATTAAGTTATCTATTAATCAATCAAAAGTCAAATTCATTAATCATTTGAATGTCATTTCATTTGAATTAAAATCATTATTACCGTTATTTTGACCATTTTTAGAGCCATTATTCTTTGTGGACGATTTAAACCGTTTGTTTGTCTCATTATATCCATCTTTTCCGTTACCGTCGATCATATTTTGGCCAATCTTTCGCTTTTTGTTATTATTAGCGGTTTGTTTGTTATTATTTGTTAAACAATTTTGTTTCAACTCTTGTTGTTTGCGAAGATTGGTTTCATTGACAATCAAAATCTTGGATTCATCGACCCATTCATCCCAAGACTTGTTCCATCCATTATAATGAACATAATATCTCTTAGAGTTGTCCACAAAGATCCTCTTCAGACACTTTGCCTCATAGATGAGCGGTCCGTGAAAACAGAGAACCCTTTCTTCTAACTCATACTTGAAGTTTACTCCCGACGGCGGATCAACACTAGTAGTGACGCTCATTGTGTTTATGACCGCAGAGGACACTCACGGATCAGTTGTTGTGACAAAAGAGTGACGAAATAATAACCAAATCATTGAATCAATTGATTTGTCAAACATTGTTGTCTTCATTCAAATGTCTAAACAATAATTACGTCAATAATTTTGTATTACTTTTATATTATACTGTATTATCAATACTAATAAATTCAATACATTATTATATACAGTAATACAGTAAATGTAATTTAGTATTAATAATAAGTTATATAATGTGTACATTATATCACGTATTCAATTATATAAATTATTTTATTTTATCAATTAATTAATTAATTTACGTTATAAATTCATAAATTATATTATCAAATGTTTATTAAACATGCGTTAAGTTTTTACTATTATTTACTATTAAATTATTAAAATTTATTTTATATAATGTTTGTAAAAATACATGAATACAATATCTAAATTACTATGATTTATGAAATTATTATTACATATTACTGTATTATAATTACATTTTTTTATACATAAACAAGATTTCCTATAATTTCAATAAATAATTTCAATAATTTAATCACTAAATAAACATTCAATTGTATGAACTATAAAAAGAAATTTAATTTATTTATAGATTTCAATTTAAAGAAAACGATATTTATTAAATGGTTAGTGATTTAAACCCTATATAAAGTATATATATATAATATAATACTTTATATTGCATTATTATAACAAAATCATTGAATTATATAAAAAAAATATATAAACAATATATTTTCCAAACAAAAATGTATTTTCCAATAGAGATCACAAATTAGTTGTTTGCAAACTTTGAAATCTTTTGAAACAAACAATAGATTTTATGGCAATAAGTTTAATATTTTTAATTTAAATTGATTTCAATTTTCTAAACTTTTATACCGTAAAACATATAAATCTTTTTACTGTTTGCTTATATTGAATTTATATATGAATAGTTCATAAGACTGTTATATATTTAGTTTATTTTAATAAAAAATATTTTTAATATTTAATATTAAAATTAAATAAAATTTATTGGTGTGTAATTGAATATTTTGAAATTTAAATTATTATAAATTGCTAAAACGGATACTTTAAAGGTATACTAACACAATTGTATCTAGATGAAATTTCAATTTTAAACTAGTTTTTGATTTAATATATCAACATATAATAATAAAAATGTTATACAATATTTTTATAACACAATACAGACAATATACTGTAATATATAATATACTACAATATACAGTACAATATGTGTAAACAAACTAAAATACAATACTAGTTAATACAAGATTAATTTTTATATATATATATATATATATATACTGTAAATCCGAGTTATATTACTTTTTACATCAATTTATAACTTATAGTCTATAAGAATGACACGAATTACTGTAAGTATTATTTTATATCAATAAAAGAGTCGATAGTTTTTCAATTCTTAAGATTTGATGAAATTTTTTTTTTTTTGTTTTTATTTTTTATGTATTATTTGTGTGTATGTATTATAAATCTTATCTCTAAACCAATATTAAAAAAATAGATACAATAACTATAAGGATGAGTGAGTAATATTAATGAATAACCGATTTATGAATGTCCTCTCAGTTGTAAAGACTAAGTATATGACAACATAAATAAATAGATATTTTTAAAAATATAATATAATATAAACTAAAATTAATGAGAGTGTGTAAAGATTTGTATTTAAAAATTCAAATTTACAACTATTGTGTTTAATTATTGTTTAATCTTTAATATAATATATTTTTAAAAAATTGTGTGTTTTGTGTATATATTTGATACATTCAAATTGGTCAATTAAATTGAAACTACTTATATATATATATATATATTATTTTTATTTATTTTATGTAAAAACAAAGCATTAATATATTTTTTGTGAAAATATTACATAATCACTCGGTTGAGAAAACATTATAAGAAAATTTGTAATTAAAAAAAAATACATTTATATTTTGAAGAGATTTAAAAAATAAATATTGTTTTTACTGTAATTATTGAAGCACTCAAATCTTTTGAATGATGATTGTTAAAAAAAAACTACAATACATTAAATTATGTAATTTTAAAACTATAATGAGTAAACAATTTTTGATATATCAATATAAGAAAAGGTAAATTCAGTACTTTTTAAATCTAAGTGAAAACATAAGTATGTTTTATCTTAACTTAAAAACTATTATTTATTTGGATTATATTTTTACAAAATAGATATTTATTTCATAATACCTAAAAGTATTATCAAAATCAGTTTATATGCAATATATTTGCTTTTATGAACTTATCATTACTTTTTTACAGTAATAGACTATAAATAATTGTTTTTGAGTAGTTTATACTTCAATAGATGTAATATATTAAAGACTTTATATTTAATGAAAAAGTTTATAAAAATTTTAAATATTGTTTTAAACTGATTAAAAATTAGTTAATCAAAAAGTTGATAAAGTGAAAAAGTAATAACATTTTTGTAATGCAAGTAAGCAATGAATCTTAATTGACTTAAAAATTTTAAACATACATTGAGTCTATGTTAGTACTGATGTGTTAATATCATAATAATATTGAATTTATATACCTATTACTCATTTTTATTAATAAAAATAGAAAATGTCTTTAAATAATTAATAGAGAAGAAAAGTTATAAAAGTTAATATCAAAATGCATTTATTGAATAAATAAATAAATAACATTTCATTTATTAATCTCTTTTATGTGCCGACATAAAGCTCTTTAAGCATTAGGAGCCCCATAACCGCATTTTATACCTCCCGTTCCCTTCACTTTATTTGATGGATAGAAATATCTAATTCTCAATATAATTGTGGTTAAGAATCAATTCGTGATCTAATCCTAACTTTGAATGTTTTTCCTCTTTATAAAAGTCTTACTCAAAAAAAAAATTTATTATAAAAATATAAAAATTGGTAAAATGCAAAAATAGATAACAAGTTATAATAATAATAATATATTTTTTAAAGAATAAAAGAAATTTTAATGAAAAATTTCCCCCATTTATGTAATACAATATACATATTATACTTTATGTACATTTTTTCTATTATCAATATGTTATTATAAGCACCGGTTATCATGAAAACCACTATTTATATTAAAAGATTTTGATTTATAATAAATGTTTGAATAAAATTAGAAATATTTCTTAGTTATTGTTATGGATATCAAACTAATTTGTCGCTCCCTTTCAGTACTATTACTATAGCAACACTCCATTCGCGCATTTGTGACCTGAGTTACACATAAGCTAAGGACACAACACTTATATACTCACAAAAATAGGGTATTCCTCTCCCTATGCCTTACATTCATCAATGTATTTATGTTTTAGGCATACGGTTAGCACAAAAGCTAACAATTCATTCATTGAGTTTTCAGTAGGTGTGAGCTTTGTATACGGAGAAGTACTATACGATAGCTTTGTCTGTTTATTGTCTATTTAGTGACACAGAATATTCTGTAAGAAATAAATATAATAAAAATATAAAAAACTAAATCTATTTGATTTTTCTGCAATTAAAAAGTATTTTAACTGTAAATTATTTTTCTCATTGTTTAACATCAAAACTTGCATTAATAAAATGCATTTTTAACCAGTGTAACACATTCACAAATTTACTAAACTTTAAAAAAAACTTTTGATACTAAGATTGTGTGTTTGCTTTTTTATTGAAAATCTCACTTTATGTTCAATTTTAATTTTTTTTATAAAAATTGATAACACATTACAACTATTATCTGATATTATTTATCGGATAACTTTTTATTGTAACTTTTGACTAAAAACTTGACTTAAAAAGTTCTCATATCAATGAAAAAACTAAAATTTGTAGTTTTATATCTAAACTTTTTTTAAAAAAAAGTTAATATAAATCTAAAAACTATCGTATAAAGTAAACTTTGTATTAAAAAACTTATATAAAAATCAATAACATTTTTGCTGACAAATAAAATAAATGTTTCAATATTAAATTAGTAGAAATGTAAAGTTTGTCACTAATTTTCTGTTTATTTGAATACATCATATCATTTTATACATATCCAGGTAAGTTAAAATATAAAATTTTACTTATATAAAATTAAATAAATTATTTTTATAAATATTATATACTGTTTTTATTGCAGTAAAAATCAAAATAAAAACTTTAGAGTTAATTTAAATTGCCGTTAATCACACTTTTGTGTATAACACTAATTATTATATTATTTGCAATTTTGTGTTTTATTCATCTCATAACAAAAGGAAATAAAATAATTGTCTGTTATATATATTAAAAACAAAATATACATTTATTTAACAACAATGAATTATAAATAATTCATACAATTAACAAAATTATAATAATTTGTAAATTTATATGCTATGAAATAAAAATTGACTAAATTTATAAATATTTGTTTCTTTCTTTAATTGCATGTATAATATTGAAATATTATATTTATATATTTTATGTTGATATATATATGTGTCTAGATAGATATTTAGAGAGAGAGAGAGAGAGAGAGAGAGAGAGAGATTTTAATTATTTTATTGAGTATTTTACTTTTGTTTTTATTTTATTGTCCATTTTAAAAGATAAATAAAGATAAAATTATTTTTTGCTGAATTGCTGAATAAATGCATATAAAACTGAATTGATTTTAAATGTATTTTTTTGGATAAATAAGACGTAAGTTTTAAGATATAAATGTAAGAAAAATGATTCAATCAATAGCTATTGGAAAGTGAATGAGACTTAAAAGTCAATACAAAACAAGTTTTAATTCAATGTTTGTTATCAATAGTTTGAACAAATGGTCCGAATAAAGGATTTATTTGTTCTATATTTTACTTACTGTTTGTATGCTTTTTATTTGTTATCACATATTCACTGATATATTATACTTTTTTTGTAAGAAACATACCAGTGCTCTGTGTGTGTATGTGTGTGACTAAAGTCGGAAAAAGCTAACTCATGACTATTGTCCTTAAACTCAATCATAATGTCCGTTACGTTGGGTTTTAATCGTTTACGGAGAGTGTGATCGAGACTTTAACTGGAAATAGTTAGCCATAAGTTAAGAAAATAAAGACATG